CTAGACTTCAACCAAGATTTTCGGCCAGGACTTCCCCAATGCCCCTAGGTATAACCAAAAGTGGGTGTTTAACCCTAAACCTCAATGAGAAAATGGTGGTGGATCTTATGTGACTAGGTCTAATTGTATGAAGTGTTGAAGAAAGCATGATTGTAACTTCCTAGCTATCATGGATGGTTTCTATGGTTGTGGTACGAGTGATCACCTAATGAGATATTGCCCAGTGCTTATGGCTAAAGGGAGAGAGAGAAATCAAGCTCTTCCTAGTGGTTAAAACTCCAATGTTCCCAAGTAAAATCGCTTCTATGCACTCCGGTCTAGGGATTACCATGAGAGTCCTCCAGATATGGATATCGGTATGTTGAAAATTTTCCTTATAGATGTATATGTTTGATTAGATCCAAATGTTGCTTGCCTTTTGTGATGCCATATGTGGCAATAATATTTGATATGCTCCTCGATGAGTTATTAGAACCGTTTAATGTCTCTTCCTCTGTTGGTGTTTCTGTGGTGGCTAAGAGGATATATGGAAGATGCATTGCTTTCCCCTATCCCATAGAGTTTCTCTTGTAGATTGGGTAGAGCTTGACGTGTTTGATTTCGATGTTAGTCTTGGTATGGATTGACTGCTCTTTTGTTATAGTGATTGTAGAACCCATTTAGTCAAAAATAGTTAGCTCCTCAATGTGTCTATCATAGAGAAGAAGGAGGGAAGTTCTATGCCTTGAGATTATTTGTTCCTTACATGAAAGTTAGAAGGATGATTACTAAAGGTTGTTTTTTCCCACCTAACTAGGGTGAGGAAAGTAAACGGTGTTTAGCCAACTTTAAAAAGGGTTAGTTATCTGTCTAAGACTAATCTTAGGTCGGGTTACCACCAATTAAGGGTGAGCGGTGAAGATAGTACAATGACGACCTTTTGAACCCGGTATGGTCGTTATGAGTTTTTGGTTGTGACGTTTGGGTAGTGTGGCACATGTTGAAGATTATAAGAAAGAATTAGTTTGAAATGTTCATAGGTAGGGCCGGTTAATTATTCAATTAGGGTACTCCACCAAGGGTGGTGCTATGGTTACAATAGGTCTGAATTGTCTTTAGTGGCATGTGAAAGTTAAGCAAGGGCTTAATCCAATTTTAGTTGACTAGAAAGGGAGCGGTGCTTAAGAGATTAGTAGAGGCTTTCTTTCAAGGGGGAGATGGAATGCTTGGGTAGCAAGGTTGTTGAGTGTCCCTAATGCTCATGATTTTGATATTTCTTAGAAATTCCACCCATGAATGGTGTAATGAGATTTGGCAAGAAGGGAAATCTTAGTCCCCGATATGTGGGCCCATACCAAATTTTGAGGCATATTTATGAAGTGGCCTACGAGTTAGATTTGCCAAGTGAGGTGGCCTTGGTACATCCGATGTTTCATGTCTCTATTCTCAAGAAGTCTGTTGGAGATACGACATCCACAATCCCCTTAGAAGGGTTGGGGGTTTATGAAAGTCTTTCATATGAGGGAGTTCCATTAGAGATTCTAGACCGGCAAGCTAAGAGGTTAAGAAACAAGGAAATAGCTTCTGTGATGGTTTTGTCGAAGAACCATCTGGTTGAGGGTTCTACCCGGGAGACATAGGCGAATATGAAGTCCCACTATCCTCATATTTTTCCTTCTACTCCTACTCTAGCTTGAGGTAGGTAGTTCCTCTTGAGTTTTCCTTGTTTTGGGAGTCATGTGTTTTATTAGAGTTTTTCCATGTTTTCCCTATGTACTCCATGTTCTTGAGGAATGTATGTTTAGCAAGAAAATGAGTTTTTATGATTGATTTTCCTCATGTTGTGGTGCATTGATTAAAATTTTCCTATATGCTTTATGAGATGAATTTTTGAACATGCTTTAATTATGTTGTTGAGAGTAAATTGCACAAGGGCTCCATTAGATTATTTTGAGCATGCTTTTAGTGCGTAGAAGATAAGTTCTCCTATGAAAATGATATGTGTTGAGATATTATGTATAATGATTTGTTAGATCTAGTTCCTACTTCCTTGTGATGTATTGAATATGTTTGGGTTGGAGTTGATGTTTCCTTCTTTGAATTGTGCATTATTTTAATGTTGCATGCATGATGGGCTGCTAGTCTTGAGTCTTGTGTCTAAAAGCGTGTTTAGGATATCATTCAAGGACGAATTATCCCCAGGGGGGAGATAATGTACCACCTCAAAATCTAGTAGACTAAACAAGGGATAAGTGAGAGGGCTAGTGCAATACCTCGTATCCGAAAAGGGGGAGAACTACGAAAATACTCAATAGCACAAGCTCCACCCACAGAACCATTTACGATCCATAGGTGGGACCACAAGCCGGGGTGAAGGAACCGTGGTTGGACAAAAAGTTCCTTACCATGAACCACGCCTGCCTAGGATGGGCCGTGGGTCCATCCACGGTCTGTGGCTCATGGTCCATAGGTCGTGGTCTGGGCAGTTATTTTAAGGGCAATTGGGTCTTTTCTAGTAATAATTAAATCAATGTGGTATCATTTTTCCTAAGTCTAGGACACCTATATAAGCATTTTTAACCTCCAAAAGCCCTCATTCAAATCACTCAAAAGAATTCCCAAAACTCCTCTCACATATTCTCTCTCTAGCTCTTGAAGAAAAAGAAGATGAAGGAAGTTGGAGCTAGGGTACAAAGAGCAAGTTTATTCACACCAAATTCATTGGGATTTTATTGTTATGGTGTGGTAGTCTTCATCCATTGATAAATTTCATCCATGAAGACCCTTCAAAATCCTAATTTCAAAGATAGAAATCCCAAAATGTTAGGGTTTGATTCCAATGTCATGGGTTCCTTTCAAAAACAATCCTAATGATTGAATTATTTTTATATTAAACATGAATTTATGATTTCCTATGTTTTATATGATGAATCTCCAAGAACCCATGAAATCCCCATATTTCTCAATTGTGATCTTATAATGTGGGTCTTTGTTTATGAAAGGAAAATGTTATGAAATTATGCATGTAGTGATTAGGTTACTTGAGTTATCATGATATCCATGTACAATGTATGAATTCTAGATGTGTTGATTGAAACTGAGCTTTGAACCTTGAATAGGCAAACTATGAGAATTATGCACGCTTTCATGAAATCTATGTAATTGCTTTTTAAACACTTTGAAAGTGAATTCTTCATGATTATGATGTAGTTGTTGTATTGTTAAAAGGACATTCTCATATACACACCTATACATGACTAACGATGGTTCTAGGATGGAAAAGCTTTCTCACCTAATTGAATCTAAATTCAAGTAATCATAGACGGTGAATGGTTTTCTCACGCATGATCTAAAGAGTTTTCTTAGTTGATAAAACTTGAATCGGTAGGCCAAGGGCTCCCTTTAATGTGTAATTAAAGAACTATCTTAATTGATTTGTCTTGAATCGGTAGGCCAATGGCACCCTTTAATGAGTAACGAATGAGCCATTCTAGTGATATACCTTGGATTGGTAGGACAAAGTCGCCCTTCATTAGTACTGGAGTTAAGTCAAGTTTTCATAACTACTCCGTGGGAATGTAATGCTTAACACCGAGTGGATATTGTATGATATGGAAGATCTCCCGTAGTAAGGGCAGGGTATCTAGAAGCAATCTCTTGAGATGGAAGCTTCCCCATAGTAAGGTCGGGTTTATAGTAGCAATCTCCTTATCCCATAAACTATGTTCCCCCATAGGTTATTTAGCTAGTGGATCCACTTAAGCTAAAGTTATGGTTCTACCTTAGGAAAGTAGGACAACCCTTTTCGGTGCGGGTAACACCGGCTTCCATGTTATGTTCACATAGCATCATGTCAGTTAAGGCTTATTACCATATTAACAAGAAGTTTAATCATTAACTTAGGCTTGCTTAAAGAGGCATCCCGAAGTGTTCTATAACGACCCGAGAGCACCCCCTAGTCATTACCGGCGTATTCAACCTCAAAGAGGTCTTGCCCTTAGCTTTCTTCATAGCATATATCAGAGAATAAAATCACGAAAAATTTAAAACTTTTACTTTGGAAGTTCAACTTCACTTCATATATGAAAACTATAATCTAATTTTGTCACAATGCACCATCTAGACATAGAAGTATCGAAAATGGGACTTAGCCTTTACATCAATAAGAAGTCTTGCAAATAGGAAGTACAACAATGTCTTTCAACATAAGCAAAGCACTAAACATAGAAGTTAGATTATAGGGTCTTGTCCTCGGACTTGAGGTCTCACCAACTTGGGGAAGCAACTCCAAGTGTCTTGAGAAGTAAGCTTGAATCCTCAACGGCCCAAACCTAAATGTTTGGGAAAAGGGAGAAAATATGTGTTAGTACAACACACGTACTATGTATGGCTACTATGCATAAAAATGATTGAAACATGCATAAAATGACATTTTATTCATAACATTCTTTTTGCCAAGTAAATCCAATATGCACACAAATTAAGTATCATAGTCCAAACCAACATAATATCATCCCGACATGTAGACAACCCAAGCAATACTAGGGCATTGCAAGGAATAGAACCCCATAACCCTATTCAAAGCCAAGTATCACATTAAGCAACACTACAAGAAAAAAGGCTATTAGGGAGGGGAAATCTAGTCCCTAAAAATCTTATTCTGGTCCCTAATGGATAGTAACGACTTGAGAAATCTGGTCGCCACTCGTCGCAATAGGCTTCTTCGCTAAAAGCCAATAACGACGGGTATTTATAGCTAGTCCCTAAATGTTTGTTGCGACCAGGTTTATTCTGGTCCTAAAAGACCTTTAGGGACCACATTTCTAGTCCTTAAATTGTTGTTTGAGCCATACTTTTTGGTCCTTAAAGACTTTTTAAGACAAGGCATTTGGTTGTTAAAAGATTAATATTTCTGATCCTTAATAAATATATAATCTTTATTGTACTATTTTCTTAAATACTTCTTTATAATATCAAAATTCAAATGAAAGTAGACAAAATATGAATAATTCCATGCTTTCATATATATATATGATTAAATTACAAAAAATGGATTAGCATCCCATATGTAGAAATGTTGCATGATACTATCACATGTTTCATTCATTGCACAAAATGTAAACAATTTCCCTACAGTCACTGCAAAATGATAACCAATTTGGGTCTTAAAATCTTGCATCTTGACTTTTAAATTCATTTTCTATTTTGGTCTGGAACTTCTAAGCTCTTCAAGTCTTCAAAACCTGTTAAAAAAGCACAATACATACTGTTAAACAAGGTTTAGACCATATAGCAGATTCAAATTGCAACCTATGTATTTAACGTTAGGATTAAGTACTCATAGCAAAGTTCTAAGAATTATTAAATATGCCAACTGTAAATAAAATATAGCTTCAGATTGATGGACCAAATATCAAAAATAAAATCAGAGTAAATGATTTTATACACTGCTTAAGTTGGATACAAAAATATAAAACAAGAGTAAATCCCCAAACTGATAAAACCATTGAACTTTGCTTGCGCTGGCAACTCAGACTACAAATTCACATGCAAAAGATTTTTTTTTTCCATTTTAAATATGGCCTGGGGATAACTTTTGTCCACTGCATCTACTAATACATGACGAAGTTTCTTCGGGTCACCCTTCTCAACCTCTATAGTAAATTTACAAGATGGAATGACATGCTGGTACATTTTTTTGGAAAAAGTAGACACATGCCTAGAGAAGTTATAGGCTAACACGCAAAGCATATATACTTACCTCAAAATGTTAAGAATACAATAGATGAACCCACAAATTAACAGAGGCTAAAAGAAATAAACCAATTTTTTTTTAATGTTACCTTTTATCATTAACAATAAAAAGATAAACTTGTCACTTCTCAACTCAAAATCATGATATGCTTCTGACTCTATGGAGAATGACATAGAATATTGTAAATTTCTTTCCAGCTGATCCACGCCACTAATACACTGGAAACTAAACAAGGAGTGAGATAGTTACATCTATCAAGTCGAGGGATAACATATGCAAATAACCTGACAACAACACCTCTGTCCACCTACCAGAGCTACAAAAAATTTAGTAATTTGACACCTGATAAGTCCTCCGCAACAATCAACCCTCGCCCGCCACCCTACCTACCTAAATAGCAGCAAAATCTTCTCCTTATTACTAAGATTTATTCCAACACAAGAGCGGCGATATTTTGGAGATTTCCGAGCAATTTAGCCTAAAACTATTCCACGAGTCCACTAGTTACCTTTCTTTCCAAACCATATAGGTTTCTGCACATGTATGTACTTCATACACTACAGACAAGTGCTCAGTTACAAATACATGATAACCATCAAAAAAAAAAAATTCTCTACTATATAAATCAGAAAAGAAATACATTTCAACAAATAATAATCAGAAGAAAAAAACTCACGATTTTCATTAGCTCAACTATTGCCAGCTTCCTTTCCATCTATATTTGATGGCAAACTGTGATCATGTGGTCAAACACCAGCACACAAACGCATATTAGGTTTTCCAATTACAATAAAAGCAGGTCCATTATTAATAAACACAGTGATAATTCATAAGAAGAGATAATAAAATAAGTATACTGAAAGAAGGAAGATACATAAAGTACTTAAGAAAGCATTGGGAATTCTAACTTCTAGTATTGAGTTACACAATCCTACTAAATTAGCATCTACAAATAGATTTTATATGGAGAGATAACACAATGCTTGTGTGGATGAATGTGAAGTTTGAAAGACTAATTACGTATTTAAGTTCCTTCTCAGTTTTATCACAGAAAATATAACCCAAATAAAATATATATAAATTAAATGCGAGCAACACTTTTGTTTTTAGTGAAAGTAATTGAAATGATGATTTTGATAAATGCATGCTCTCTCTGATCCCATAACTTCTACAGGTAACCATTTGAGTACAAACATCATAAGACTCTCATTTCTGTCAACCCATGGTGTATGTGTAAAAGTTATTTGTAAGAGAGAAAAGAGCCTAGAATGGAAGCGAATGCAACACTATAAAGTGCAAGCGGAGTAGAATATTAATAGCTTAAAAGAAAAATCATTGAACTCATTAAGTATAATACTTTGGGTTCCTTTTCATTATTAGACAAGAGATCCTTCAATACTGCCACCATTTTCTGCCATATTAGAAGACGTCTCTGATACATATGTGCTTATAAAGTCATTGAATAAGTTTTTGAACTATGGGAATAAGAACTAAGCGTCGGTTGCTTAGCTTCTAGTTACGCTATTAATCAAGTTATTGTCAATTGAGAAGTTTCGGGATAAAGAACTATGTGGCACCACCTAAGAAACATATTGTCTATCTAAAACAGGGCACTCCACAGTTTACCTGTTGAGGATTTCACTGACCAGTTTCGAAATGTTATAAGGGGTCATGGGAAAAGAGAAGTAAAATGTATATACAGGGATATCGAGCATAGTAGGAAATGCAATTATGCTTTTGTCGATGGCCTTGTTCAAATATCCATATTAAAATATCGTTTATTTGGCCATGTGGCTCCCTTTCAACAAGGTTCTCAAACAAGAAATATTAAAGAAGATAAAAATATAATAACTCTTCCTTGTAGAGATATAAAAAATAAGGACAATCAAACAAAAGAAGAACATTAAGAAAGTCATTCGTCTATACCATATGAACCTATCACGACAAAAAGAAAATGGTCTACCGAAGGTTCGGAAGGATTAACTTCAGTGAGTTGAGCACAATCAAAGGAGGATGGAGTACTACTTGGACATAAAGAAAATAGTGTGCTGAAGGTTAAGAAGAAACACATTCAGTGAGTTGGGAGGAAGCTAAATGAACCATTTGGTTATGGATGGGTGAATTGCTAGCTTTCTCCAGTTATCATTCATACAATTTTCTTTGATATGTTCTCATAGATATGCTTGAAGAAGTACAATGTGCGTATATAGTTGAATTATCCACTACAACTTTCACATTCTTGCTAGGACTTGGGGAGTATCGCAAATGAGTTAGACATACCTCTCGTTAATCTCTTCATTTTGTATTTCTTTGTCAGGACATACTGTCCAGCTTTGTTGACTTAGCACAGTATTAATGTGCTCAATGTATACTAATTCTATGAATCTGATGAACATAAAGGAAGTTTAAAGGGAAATGCAGTTCTGGAAGGAAAAAAAATGCAAGCAACACAATACAAATGAGGATTAAGATTTAACAAAAACTAAAAGGAAACTTCACGGCAAGAGAAATACAAAAGGGAGGACAGATACTCACAACATTCTAGGGTTTAAGTTTTGATGAATCTCATGTGTAATTAAGGATCACATTTATAACCATAATATCATATACTTTAGAGATAAATTTACCTCAAACAGGCATCTAATTGATTTGTTCACAGAACCTTTAATCCGAAACCTGAAAATACATAGTTGACTTCGTTAAGAGAAAAAGTATTTACACAGTGAAATTCTACAAAAGAAACACAGGGATTCTAGTTTAACTACCAAGTAAAAGAAACAAACAACAAAGTTGAGCATGAATATATGGTTCCACACTCACTGCGACAATGAACAATTGGAAACCAACACACCACACCTCTTGAGAATCCAACATAACACATACGAAGGCAAAACAATCTTAGACCACTGATTGAATTACATAGAATTTCAGAAAACCCATTTTAAGGAATCAATAAAATAGAAAATTACCTATATTGCCTTGATTATTGCAGTTCTTCCAAAGCCTAGCTGCAACCTTCTTCATCAAATCGAAGGAGCCGTACTTAAAGGGGGCTTTCTCATGACCCACATCTCCATCCTCAAAATTCTTTAATCAGGGGAGACAAAGCATTCAACGCCGAATAACAATAGTGAGGATATTAGGGTTTACAGATTTTATCGCTTTTGGGAAATATATTTGACTACAACCCGAGAAATGAATTTTTAGAGAGGTAAGAGGCGCCTTTTGTCCGCTAAATTTAGATTTAGAGACTAGTTATTTCTTTAATATAGAGACCATATTAGGTCTCTTCGTTATAAGAAAAATTAAAATAGCGAACTAGGGACCAGAAGGAAAACCCATCTCTATAAGCATACTTTCAAGGACTAGATTTTTTATTCGTCTCTAAAAGTTGGTCTCTATTAATCCTTTTTCTTGTAGTGCAACCTAATTCATGCATACATTCATAAGATCATATTTCATCATAACTTACCATATTCATAATGATCATACATAACATAGCTTCAACATACATAAGTGGTAATCATCATAATCATAAGAGAACACTACTACAACCATCCCTTAGGATCCCACAAGTGCAATGTGCAACAGAAGTCCCATACCCTCACTTACACTATGTAGAAACCCCTAAGAAAGCCCTAGTAAGAGTTCACACCTTTCATACCTACATTTACTTTTACATTAGGGAAATATTGCAATAACCGACATAGACCATGAGAGCTACATGGAATCCGATGTTCTACTCCCACACCGAAAAGAGAGGGTTAACACTTGCCTAAGGTGTAACCATTCGTACATAGCTATCTAGGTGGATCCACTAAGCTAAAGTCCTATGTGGGCACATAGTTAAGGGTCAAGGAGATTGCTTCTAGAAACCCTAACTTACTAAACGTGGGGGTTTCCATGTAATGAGACAACACATACCGTGGCTAATCCGGACTTGCTAAACGTGAGGAAACCCATCTGGGGAGCCGGACTTACTAAACGTGAGACCCCCATCTCATTTAAATGCCCTTTCGGTGCTAAGCATCTAATTCCATTTT